TCCATTTTGTATTTTATTTAGAGACAGGTCTCACTGAGTTGCTTAAGACCTCACTAAATTGCTAAAAGGCTGGGTTTGAATTCCCAATCCTGACCCAGCCTCCTGAGTTGCTGGGATTACAGGCATGTGCCACCATGCCTGGCTTTTTTTGTTTTTATCCAGGGTCTCACTAAATTACTTAGGGCCTCGCCAAGTTGCTGAGGCTGACCTCGAACTTGAGAATCTTCTGCCTTGGCCTCCTGAGCTGCTAGGATTATAGACATGAGCCACTTTGCCCAGTTCTTCAAGCAACTTTCGCTTCTTATTTACACAAAAGCCTGTATAGTTGCACAAATCAGTTCCATCTTGAAGCCTCACCATCTGGATTCCTTTCAATAGTTTCAAAATTACTGCAATAGGGAGTAGAGGAGGTCACAACTCTTACTTACTACGTCAGCCTGAAAGTTACACATCTTGCTTTTCTTCTGGAACTGCTGGTAAGAACTAGCTGTATGATCTCACAACCTAACCTGGATTGAGGCTAGGATGTTTAGTGAGCACCAATAATCTCTATTACACCTGGGTATCCTGGTTCCCTCTGTAGATACAAATACTAATATGCTTATTTTTACTCCTTTCTTTTAAAAAATATTTATTTATTTATTTATTTTAATTGTAGTTGGACACAATACCTGTATTTATTTATTTTTATGTGGTGCTGAGGATCGATCCAAGGGCCTTGCACATACTAGGCAAGAACTCTACCGCTGAGCCACAACCCCAGCCCCTCCTTTCTTTTTTTTTTTTAATATATATATTTTTTAGGTGAACACAATACCTTTATTTTGTTTTATGTGGTGCTGAGGATCAAACCCAGTGCATCATGTGTGCCAGGCAAGTGCTCTACCTCAGAGTCACAACCCCAGCCCTTTTATTACTCCTTTCTTATATAAAAGGTAAGATATTACATGCACTGTTCTGCACCTTGCTTTCTTCACTAATCTAAATCTGAGAGAACTTCCTCCTCCTCCTCCTTTTCCTCCTCCCTCTTTCTTTTTCTTGTTTCTAGCTCTCTCTTTTCACAGTTACACAATATCACATAGTGGGGATATTCTGTGGTTTAGCCAATTCCTTCTCTCTCTCTCTCTCTCTTTCTTTCTTTTTTTGGTACCAGGGATTGAACCCAAGGGCGGTAAACCACCACTGAGCCTCATCCCCAGCTCTTTATATATATTTTTTATATTTATATTTTTTTAGTTGTAGTTGGACACAATATCTTTATTTTGTTTACTTATTTTTATGTGGTGCTGAGAATCGAACCCAGGGCCTTGCACATGCTAGGGCGAGTACTCTACCACTGAACCACAACCCCAGCCCCTATATATATTTTTTAATATTTTTATTTTTTAGTTGTAGTTAGACACAATACCTTTATTTAATTTATTTATTTATTTTGATGTGGTGCTAAGGATCGAACCTAGAGTCTCGCATATGCTAGGCAAGCACTCTACCGCTGAGCCACAACCTCAGCCCCCTTTTTATATTTTTATTTAGAGACAGGGTCTTGCTAAACTGCTTAGGGCCTTGATAAATTGCTAAGGGATTACAGGCATGCACCACAACCCCTGGCTCCCCAATTCCTTCTTTATAAAATTTATGGCTTGCCGGGTTTCTGTTCTTGCAACTAAAAGGCTCGGGGGTCACTCTAGTTTAACTGGGCTAACTGGGCTGCATGAAATAACCATACAAGAGATACAAATACCTTTTTCTTTGGGGTTGCTGTGATGGCTCCTCTGACCTTAAGGGTCTGCAGGAAGAGAGAGAGAGCACACGCTGACCCCTTTTATTGAGGAGAAGCTATTCAAATGAGGCAAGGGGTCAGATTTCAGGGGGTTGAGTCTATCTTCATGATGTCCACTGTCAGCAGGTTGACTTACACCTGGGTAGGCCACACCCAAGGGCACAGTAAGAGGAGGGGACACATACAAGGCACTTTCATGGAAGATTCTAACCTAAACAGGGCAAGGGGTTATATTACAAAGGAACAGGTGAGCATAGCTTCACCCATGGGACTGTAGCAAGACACACCCATTTCTGTGACTGAGCGCCTCAGCACCCAGCTGGGGAGTGTAACTCAGTCACCCATAAGGTTGGCCTCCCACAATGGCTTCCAATTCTTTCTAATACAAAGAATGTTTAGATAGGGCAAAGGGGAGGGAGGGGAAGGGAGGGGGCATGGGATAGGAAAGACAGTGGAATGAGATAGACATCATTATCCCAAGTACATGTATGAAGACACGAATGGTGTGACTCTACTTTGTATACAACCAGAGACATGAAAAATTGTGCTCTTGGAGCTGGAGTTGTGGTTCAGTGGTAGAGCGCTTGCCTAGTACGGGAGAGGTGCTGGGTTTGATCCTCAGCACCACATAAAAATAAATGAATAAAATAAGGGTATGTGTCCAACTAAAAAATAAATATTAAAAAAAGGAAAATTGTGCTCTATATCTGTACTATGAATTGAAATGCATTCTTCTGTCATATATAACAAATTAGAATAAAAAAATTTAAAAACATAACAAAACAAATAATGTTGCAATAGATAATCTTTTTGAATAAATTCTTAGAAATGTGAATACCAGGTGAAAGGATAAATTATTAGTAATTTTACACTTTAAAATTACCAAATTATATATAATATATAATCTCCATACAGATTATATTATCTTTTTTTCCCACCAAAGATGTGTGTGCCTCTTTCCTCATCATCATATGTATATTTGCCAACTTGACAGAAGATAAAAACATTTCAGTATAGTTCAACTTTATCTTAGAATAAGAAAAATTAAATGTTTTAAACTTTTTTTCCCCCCCAGTACTGGGGATTTAACCTTGTGGTGCTCTACAACGGAGTTATATCTCCAGCCCTTTTTATTTTTCATTTTGAGACAGGGTTTCCCTAAACTGGCCTTGAACTTGAGATCCTCCTGCCTTAGCCTCCCAAGTAGCTGGAATTACAGGCCCAAACAACCAGGCCTAGCCTCTCAATGTTTTTAAAGGGTTGTTTTTATTTTTTTCTGCAAGCTTCCTATTAACGTCCTTTGCCTGTTACAGAATTGTTATCAGTCCAATTTTAGCATCTCTGCTATTAAACAAATTTTGAAAAATTTTACATAGGTTTACGGGCTTCTCCACAGACATGCTAATCAGAAGTGCCCCCCCAAAAAAATATATATATCCTTTCTTTTCTTTTAATCAGTACTTGGTATTGAACCCAGGAGCACTTTACCCCTGAACTACATTTTCCAGCCCTTTTATTTTATTGGTAGTGGGGATTAAACTCATAGGTGCTTTACCATTAAGCTACATCCCCAACCATTTTTATTAATATTTTTGGTTTAATTTTCCTTTCTTATTTAATATTTAATAATTAATTTATTTTTTTTTTGTACCAGAGATTAAAACCCATGTGCATTTAACCACTGAGCCACATCTGCAACCCTTTTAATTTTTTATTTTGAGACAGGGCCAAGTTAAATTGCTAAGGCTGACTTTGAACTTGTGATCCTCCTGCCTCAGCCTCCCAAACCACTCCACTGGGATTACAGGCGTGTGCCACCATGCCTGACTTTGTTTGTTTTTATACAAGGTCTCAGTAAGTAATTTAGGGATTCACCAAATTGCTGACCTTGAATTTGCAATCTTACAGCCTCAGCCTCTGGAGTTGCTGAGATTACAGGCATGTGAGTCTGTTTGGTCAAGCCCTTTTATTTTCTTCTCTGAGACAGGATCTAGCTAAATTGCCTAGGCTGGTCTCCAATTGGGATCCTCCAGCCTTTGGCCTCCTGAATAGCTGGGATTATAGGTGTGAGCCACTTCACCTGTTGCTAAATATTTAGAGTGATCAATTTGTTTTGACAATGAGGGTTAATGATAGATTCCTAAATGGGTGGCTTTTAGAAATATAAATTACTACAGCCTGTAATCCCAAAAAGGTTCTGGGCATGTAGCTTGGTGTTAGAGGTCCTTTGAATTTAATCCCTAATACTACAAAAAAAGTCGAAAAAAAAAATTACAGCAGTTTGAGGTTATATAACTACAAGGTTAAGGAGCTACAACATGTTGTGTATTAAAATAGTGATGTAAGCATTAATTAATATAGAATTTAATGTTAACTTTGGAGTAATGATATAACTGTTTTAAGTTTAAAAAATAATAATTAGACCCTGGATTTAAGAGTTTTCTAACATGAAGCAGAGGCAGCAGTTCATTATCAGGAATAATGAATTAGAGAAACTAGGAACAGATTAAAATCAAACTTTGCAAATCAGCGAGGGAGTAAAATTGATCATTCTGAGCTTGCCTATAAACCCAAGTTTTGTCAAGTTTGTTCATTTTAGGAAACCAAAACAGCCTGTATTACTTATAAGCTTTCCAATTAAATTTTAAACTATATCGAAATTAAAAACTGGCTATCTTTGCCCAGCGCAGTGGTGCACACCTGTAATCCCAGCAGCTCAGGAGCTGAGGCAGGATTATGAGTTCAAAATCAGCATCGGTAATTTAGGGAGGCCCTAAGCAATTTAGCAGACCCTGTCTCTAAATAAAATACAAAAAAGAGCCGAGGAGGTGGCTCAGAGGTTAAGAGCTCCTAGGTTCAATCCCTGGTACCAAAAAAAACCCCCAAAACTCCAAAAAACCTGGCAATCTGGGAAGGGAATAATACTGGATAACTCAAGCAGGCTGAACCAAATACACCCATCACAAATCCTCCACTGCAAAACAACAATAGGAATGGAGAATAAGGTTCAGGCCCAGCGCGGGAAGAGGAGCGGGGCGGAGTCTGGCGCAGAGGGGTGGAGCTACCCGCAGAGCCGAGGAGGACCTTGCCCGCGAGCCTTTCGCTCCTCCCCGTGACGCCACAGGCAGGCCCCGCCCCCAGATGCCCAGGACTCCCCGGTACCACTGCTGTTTGCTTGCGCCCCGGAAGCTGCCCCTTCTCGGGGGTCATGATGGGCAGCAAAATGGCGTCTGCCAGCAGGGTCGTTCAGGTAAAGAGACTCGGTAGTTTTTTCTCACGTTGGGCAGAGAGATGGTGCAGATGTGGCAATGGCGCGAGGGAGGAAAGGCGGTGGCACAGGATGCGTGCTGACCGCGGCCCTGAATAGGGGCATGGCTGCGCCCGGGGTGTATGAGAATGGGAGCTTAAGCCCATTGCGTCGGGCAGTTAAGCCAGGGTCCGGAGCTGAGGGTTCGAGTCTGGCAGTGGGAGAGCGACATCTCCGCAGATAGGTACGTACTGGTCTGGGGTCTCTGGACTCCTCCGCCAGGTCCTCCCTAGCCTTAGTTTGCGGGCTACGCTGCCCTCCAGTAGCCTGGCCAATCGCGGTCTAGTATTGTCTGTACTGTCCCCAGTGGGCCAATCCGGAGTAAGGCGATAGCGGAGCGTTAAAGGAAGCGAACGCCGGATCTGACCCAGTGTCCCTTCAAGGTCTTGAGAATGTCAGGATAACTGGCTCCTACGGCCGGTTCAGCCCACCTTTTTCAGGCATCTGTCTACAGGCTGAATGGGGAAATAGAAAAATATTTTCCTTAACTTTATTACTAGTATATATTTTTGTGTTATTTCCCAAACCTTTTTTCCCTGCTTAGATAGGCAGCTGAAGTAACATTGTTAATCCACCTATGACCTACTAACTCTTGACACCTTTTCCTTTGCTTCTCCATCTTAAATAGGAGAGGTAAATTTGGTATATAAATAGGCACGACCTTTTGTAAATTGGGTTACAATTTAGAAGCATGTTATAGTGATTAGCTTTTGTCTTTGATATGAGAGGTACATTTCCCTTTACATTAATTAGTACATCTCTTAAAAGACCTTTTCCTGAAGTTCCAGAAGTTGTCTGAAAGATAATTCTAGATTCCAGTCTTTGGTTCCATTGCAATAAATGATGCTCACTTATTTATTCAGTGGGTGGTTACTGAGCATTAACTAATTAAAGATTCTCTAAAGACAGAAACCTGACAAAGGACTACATAACCATAATATCAATAATAAATATGTAACCCAATTTAAAATGGGTCAGGGAGTTGATGCTGCATAATAAAACTGTCAAATGAGCAATAAACATGTGAAAGATGCTTAGTAATCCATACTTGCCTGCAAAATACAAATTAAAACTAGGAGGTACTGTACATCCACCAAAGTGGCTTAAATTTATTTCTTCATTGCTTGGGATTGAACCCAGGACCTCATGTATGCTAAGCACTTGCTCTTGTCTCTAAACTACATCCATAGCCCTTGCAACTAAAATTTAAAAGACTGACAATACCAAATGGTGATGTGAACAGGAAGTACTGAAACACTCATACATTGCTGGTGGATGTGTGAAATGGTACTGCCATTATGGAGAACTGCCAGTCTTTAAAAAACATTTCTCTATGACTCAGCAAATACACTTATAGATTTATTACCCAAAAGAAGTGAATGCATATACCTACAAAAAGACTTGTATGGGCTGCAGCTGTATCTCAGTGATAGAGCACTTGCTTAGCGTATTTTAGGCCCTGGTTTCAATCCCCAGTACTGTAAACAGAAAACAAGAAAACATAAAATTCTGATAGAAAGTTAATAGCAGGGCTGAGGTTATAGCTCAGTGGAACAGCACTTGCCTAGCATGTGTGAGGCACTGGGTTTGATTCTCATCACCACATATAAATAAGTAAATAAAATAAAGGCCCATCAACAACTAATAAAAATATTTTTAAAGAAGTTAATAGCAGGTTTATTTATATTAGGTCCCAAATCAGAAACAAGGATCACATGATATGACAGAAAACTTTACATGTTTTAGTGTGCTTTCTGTCATTCATTATAACTTCAGTTAGGAATTTCAGTCCATGATCAATTGGGACTGTGGTAACATTTTGTATATGTGTAATATAATATCAAAACCAGGAAACTGACATCAGTACAGTTAACATAGCTTATTTAATCATATTTATATGGATTCATTTGTGCTCTTGAGTTCTATGCAATTTTGTTTTTGTTTTTTACATTAAGATATTAGATCCATTTTATTTATTTTTCTCATTCAAATAAAACATTTAATTTGAAGGACTAGTTGTACTTATTGGGGGAAAAACTCTGCATCTGTAATGGCTAGAGATAGCCAGAGACTTGAGCTTCATTCCATAGGAGAGAGCAACACTAGAGAAAATGGTCATATGAGAGGTTTTTTAAATCAGCTTGTAGAGTGGGGAAAGCTGTTTGGAGAGGAGTGATGTTTGAGCTGTCTTAAGGGATTATAGTGGTTGTAATGATAGACATGGAAGTGGAATGGGGAAGAGAATTCCTGAGAAAGGATGTGAGCTTCAGATGAAATGGGCATGGAAATAGCATGATAAATTAGGGAAATGAGAAGTACTTGAGAAAACATGGAAGGGCAAGTACATCAGACAGCGGCTGGGAATGAAACCAAGGTAAGGAGAGGCCAGTTTCTGATAGGCCTTGTGAGTGCTAAGAGTTTGAATTTTGGGGCTGGGGTTGTGGCTCAGTGGTGGAGTGCTCGCTCGCCTAGCATATGTGAGGCACTTGGTTCAATCCTCAGCACCACATAAAAATGAAATAAAGATATTGTGTGCACCTACAACTACAAAATTAATATATACAAAAAATAAATAAATAGAGGTATTGTGTCCATGTACAACTAAAAATATTTTTTAAAAAAGTGTGAGCTTTATCATGAAAACTGTGAAACATTGTTCTTTTTTTTTTCTTTTAAGAGAGAGAATTTTTTAAAATATTTATTCTTTAGTTTTCGGCAGACACAATATCTTTGTATGTGGTGCTGAGGATCGAACCGGGGCTGCACGCTTGCCAGGTGAGCGGGCTACTGCTTGAGCCACATCCCCAGCTCCGTGAAACATTTTTCAAACTTAAACTAGGGGAGTGACAGTAAATAGAATATTTTAAGAATCTTAGCTATTCAAGGAGAAAAATTGTTAGAGAAGCATTTTAACAATGCAGGTAAACATGCTTTTATGGTGGTGACTTTTCAGGCTGACCCCAACACTTTATTTACTTCTGTACCCATATAAAAATTATATAGCAAATATATACAAATATATTGCAGATAAACATACTTCAGTCTCAGTAACATAACAATTTGCATATTACATTAGTTGGCAAAATAGTACTCTGTTCATTAGATTTTTTAGCACTGTATATTCAGGAGATTTCATATTGATAGGCTCATTTGAGGTCCTCTATAACACTATCTGTAATTTTAGGTATGAGAATACCAGTTAGAAAAACATTATTCTGAAAATAAGTATTTTTTTTTTTTTTTTGGAGAGAGAGAGAGAGAGAGAGGAGAATTTTTTTAGTATTTATTTTTTAGTATTCGGCGGACACAACATCTTTGTTTGTATGTGGTGCTGAGGATCAAACCCGGGCCGCACGCATGCCAGGCGAACGCTCTATGGCTTGAGCCACACCTCTAGCCCCTAAAAATAAGTATTTTGATAGGTAAAGAAAAAAGACAGAAAGCTATCAAATATTTTAATCTGTTGTATATGGATTTGGAGGTTATAGACAGTATTTTCTCCTTTGTGCTTTTCTTCATTTTTCCCAAAATTAAAAAAAAAAAAATTGGGAGGGATACTGGGGTGGGGATTCATCTTCAGCCCTATTTTGTATTTTAGAGACAGGGTCTCACTGAGTTGCTTAGTGCCTTGGTTTTGCTGAGGCTGGCTTTGAACTCACGAACCTCCTGTCTCAGCCAAAATTTTTATACAGATTGTGTTACTTTGGTAGTCAGAACAGGTGTTTTTAAAATGACCTAGTTTTCAATACAATTGCTTTCTATCCTATTTTAAACTATTACGTATTAACATAGTAGAGAAACCACACTCCATACAGATTAGGAAACTTCCAATTCTTTTCTTACTAATCTATAAGTCACAGAACACAAAATCCATGCCGTCCTATTCATTGGGTGGTTTTGAGATCGGTTGTTAATACATTAAAAAATCTTGTACTGGACACAGTAGCACATGCCTGTAATCCTAGCAACTTTGAGAGGCTGAGGAAGGAGGAGTTCAAGTTCAAAACCAGCCTCAGCAATTTAGTAAGGTCCTAAACTACTTAGTGAGATCTTGTCTCAAAGTACAAAATAAAAAGGAATTGGATGGAGGGTTGGGCTCTAGTTCAGTGGTAGAATGCTTGCCTAACGTGTGAGGCACTGGATTAGATTCTTAGCATTACATGAAAATAAAAAAATAAAGAAGTTCTGTTCATCCACAACTACAAAAAAAAAAAAAAGAATAGGGATATAGTTTAGTGATTAAAGTACACATGGGTTCAGTCCCCAGTACCAAAAAAGGAAAAAAAAAAAAACAGTGATGGTTAGGTATCCTAGTGACATGCCTGTAATTCCAGCTACTCTAGAAGCTGAGGCAGGAGCGTCACAAATTTGACACCAGCTTGGGCAATTTAGCTGGACCCTGTCTCAAAATAAAGTTGAGCTGGGCATGGTGGTTCCTACCTGTAATCCCAGCAGCTCAGGAGGCTGAGGCAGGAAGAGCACAAGTTCAAAGCCAGCTTCTGCAACTTAGTGAGGCTTGAAGCAACTCAGTGAGAACTTGTCTCTAAATAAAATACAAAAAAGGGCTGGGGATGTGGCTCAGTGGTTAAGCCTGGGTTCAATCTTTAGTGCCAAGAAAAACAAGTAAAAAAGGCTGGAATGTAGCTCAGTGGTACACTGGTAGAGGGCTTGCCTTGCTATGCAAGACGCCCTGAGTTTAATCCCTAGTACAGAAAAAAGAATGTATAAACTACAAAGTTATGAATAACTGATAAATTAATAATTCATAGATCAGTTACCTTGGTTGGGAAAAATACAATTTAAAGATGATGTCAAGTAGTAATTTATTTTAACAAACGTATCAGGATTAGTATAGATCATTGCTTTTACAGTTAATGAGGTTATTTTTTGTCATGTTTTCCTTTAGGTAGTCAAGCCACATACTCCATTAATAAGATTTCCTGACAGAAGAAACAATCCTAAACTTAGTGGTAAGTGATATTCTATTTAGATTTTTTTTAAAAAAGTATGCATATTTAGAAATGATATTCTATTATAAGCATTATTTCTTTTTTTCTTTTCTCTCTCTCTCTCTCTCTCTCTCTCTCTCTCTCTCTCTCTCTCTCTCTTTTGGCACCAGTGTGCTTAACCACTGAGCAACATCGCCAGCCAATTTTTTTATATCTTATTTATTTTTTTGGTATTAGGGATTAAACTCGGGTACTCAACCACTGAGCCACATCCCCAGCCCTGTTTTGTATTTTATTTAGAGATAGGGTCTCACTGAGTTGCTTACCACCTTGCTGTTGCTGAGGTTGTCTTTGAACTCAGCATTCTCCTGTCTCAGCCTCCTGATTCTGGGATTACAGGCATATGCCTGGCTTTATATTTTATTTTGAGACAGGGTCTTGCTAAATTGCTTAGGGCCTCACTGAGTTGCTAAGTCTGGCTATGAACTTGTGATCCTCTTGCCTTGGCCTCCCAAGCCACTGGGATTACAGGTGTAAACAACCACGTCCAGCTATAAGCATTCTTTCTTTCTTTTTTTGTTTAAAGAGAGAGAGAGAGAGGAGAGAGAATTTTTTAATATTTTTTAGCAGACACAACATCTTTGTACGTGGTGCTGAGGATCGAACCCGGGCCGCATGCATGCCAGGCGAGCGTGCTACCGCTTGAGCCACATTCCCAGACCCTAAGCATTATTTCTTATTCATTCATTCATTGGTAATGGGGATTGAACCTGAAGCAATTTACCACTATTACCTCGATAGTCCTTTTAATTAATCAATTAAGTTAGTTAGTTAGATTTGTTTTGTTTTCGTTATGAGTAATAGAAAACTTCGTCTCAATAGTGGCTTATTTTATTTTTTCTCTTTCCACATGTTTTATTGGTACATTATAGTTGTACATAATGATAGGATTTGTTACATATTTGTACATATATACCATTTAACAATATAATTTGGATAATATCACTCCTAAGCACTTCTTCCATTTGTCCCCCACAGTCCTTTTTATTTTGAGACAGGGTCTTGCTGATTTGCTGAGGGTTTCACCAAATTGCTGAGACTGGCCTCAAACTTGCAATCTTCCTGCATGTGCTAGGTGAACACTCTGCCCCTGAGCCACAACCCCAGCACCCCCGCCCCCCAACCACTTTTTGTATTTTATTTAGAGACAGGGTCTCACTGAGTTGCTTAGGGCCTCATTGCTGAGGCTGGCTTAGAATTTGTAATCCTCCTGCCCCAGCCTCCCTAGTTGCTGGAATAATAGGCATGTGCCACCGTGCCTGACTTACTTTTATTTTTTATTTTTAGACAGGGTCCCATTAAGTTATTAAGGGTCTAATTAAATTGCTGAGGCTGGCCTCAAACTTGTGATCCTTCTGTCTATATCCTCCCAAGTCCCTGGGATTACAGGTGTGTGCCACTGCACCTTCTTCCATCTTTTGGGAAGATTCGCCTCTGCTTATATTTATAGAGATTATGAGGAATAGTAACCATTCTTACATTTATCTCCCAGCTAACCAGCTTTTCTTTCATTTACTCCTTTACCTATTCATTCAGTCAGTAACTGTTTCTTGGATTGCCTGAACCCTTAGCAGTTACTGACTATAATATAACGACCTTTATAAATTAGGGAAGATTCTGAAATTCTTCCCCTTTTTTAGGGGGGGGTGGTGCTGGGGATTGAACCTAGGGCCTTAATCCATGTGAGGCAAGCACTCTACCAATTGAGCTACATCCCCAGCCTGCCTTCTGTTTTTTATTTTACTAAATCTTATGTGTCTCTCTTGATACTTGATCTTTAATTCCAGAAGAATTTCAACAGTTTTCATAGGGATTTAAAAATTTATTTTAACTATTGAAAAATTAAGATGTTGAAAAAAGTATTCTCATTTACTAACTTTGTTATTCCCCATTATAAGACATTACCTGTAAACTTCACCGTGTGTGGCCTTTAAGAGGTTACATGACAAAAACTTAAGTAATGTAAGTCACCCACAATGGTTGAACACCTCTAACAAGAAACTTTATTATTTTACAAACTTTATGTTCATTTTAGTAATTCGCTTACTTAAAACTACCTGCTTTCTAGGTAAAATGGAAGCTCTAGCCAGAGATTGAGCTCAGTAGTTTGAGGATAGCCTGTTTAGTAATGTAGTGAGACCCCTTCACAAAAATTAAAAAAAATAAATAAAATAAAAAAGGGCTGGAACTGTAGCCAATCTCCAAGTTGTACGTAGCATGTACAACTCCCTGGGTTCCATCCCCAGCACTGAAAACAAAAACTACCTCTTTATATCTTTTGAAAAGAATGTTGATTTTAAGAATGAATTGATCATTCAATAGAAGATAACTCAAAATAATATATTGCAACACCTGGATAATTTCTCTAATTAGGTTCTGTGTCTTTCAGTAACAGAAGGTTTGAGATCAGCGGGGCTGCCATCTCACTCACCTGTAATTTCACAACATTCTAAGGGGAATAAATCACCAGATTTGCTGATGCATCACGGTCCACCAGACACTGCAGAAATAATAAAAACATTACCTCAGAAATACAGAAGGAAACCTGTATCTCAAGAAGAAATGGAATTTATCCAAGTATGTTGTTGCTCTATCATAAGACTGTATAAAACACCATTAACATATCAGCTTTGGAATTTCATTTGTTGATTTCTATGCTCTTCCCATTGTCTTGCCAAGTGTGTCATAGCTAAGACAGATGGGGATGTAGGCCAGACTGTAAAAACAAACCATCATTGGAGCCCTCAAGAAATCTGCAGGTTATGTTACTGATAAAAACCACATAAATAAAAGCTTCTTGGTGTCCTCAAAAATTCTTCAGAGAAGAACCTCTTAGATAAGAAATGTGGGGACAATTGAAGTAGGTCAACCTTGAGTTTCTTCCAGATCTGAAATCATAACAATGAATATAAGGGTGTAGAGTTATGAAAAACCTAAAATTTGCTTAAAAATTGCATAAATTAGTTTGAATAGTAGCCATGAAAACATTTCCTGTGTCAATTTAACATCTAACCTAACCTTATTGCTTATGTTTTTCTTTTCAGCGTGGAGGTCCAGAATAATCATTGTGGCTGCTGTTTGTCATCAGACAAAAGAATTATCTTTACAGTAGAGGACTTCCAAGACAAATGAAAAACTGTATATTAATCTTAATAAATATTCTGCAAAAAAATGAAGTACAGAAAATTTAAATGAATACTTTTAATTTCTAATTTATATATCTTGGTAGGCTTCTCTACAAGCTTACCTAATTGTTTATATACATTATACTTATTAAAGTATACATTTTGAAATGTTAGCCTATTAATTTACTCTTGATTATCAAATATTACCAGTAATGAACTATTATTAAAAGCACACAGTGTCTAGTAAACTACTATAAGGTTTTCCATGATTTCACTTTTATTTCTGTTTCTATTTAGATATGGAAAGAATTCATGAGGCAGAATTACTGCTTTAGGGAAGTGATTTTCCTGAAATGAGAATCAGTGAAATAATGTCTTCATTATTTGCCCAACTACTGTGGGTTAACCTTTACTTTCTGTGTTTCTTTTATAAATTCTGTACTATGGCCTAGTATAAGTGTTGCCCAACACAAATTAGACAAGAGGTTTGGGTTTAATGTTAGCAATAAGCTATTCTGTTAACTTGTGAAAAATACATGATTTACCATTATTTTGATTTTGCCAGTGGGCGGATAAAAAAAGTATTAGTAAAAGTATTAGCACCCCTCTCTGCCTTAATTTTCTGATTTCAGTAAAACAAAGTCTTTGGCCATTTATTTTGCTTTCAGAAACAGTGAGGGCTGGGGATGTGGCTCAAGCGGTAGCGCGCTCGCCTGGCATGCGTGCGGCCCGGGTTCGATCCTCAGCACCACATACCAACAAAGATGTTGTGTCCGCCGAGAACTAAAAAAATAAATATTAAAGAAATTCTCTCTCTCTCTCTCTCTCCTCTCTCTCTCTCTCTTTAAAAAAAAATCCTTAAAAACAATATTTAAAAAAAAATTCTCTCTCTCTCCCCCTTCCCTCTATCTGAAAAAAAAAAAAAAAGAAACAGTGGATTCAGGTAATGAAGAGTAGTTTGGGTTACTTCTGTGGGTCAATTAGGGCCAAATACTGCAACTGGGGTGTATATGTGAAGTCAGTATTCACTATAGCTGTTGCCATTCAAGCCAAAGGAAAAAATAGCGCTTTTATAGGATTTATGAGTACAGATATTACATAAAAGGCATGTCAGTGGGTATTGCTGCTACAGGATGCACTCCCAAGAAGGACATTGTTATAGAAAGAATTCTAGCTAGTCTTAGAGTCAAATAGCCTGTATTTTCACATAGAGTTTAAGTACTTAAATGTGTGTAACCATCAGCAAATTGCTTAATTTGTCCAAGTATCAGCTTTCCTCTCTAGTACTATGCAATGTGATAGGTGAAAGGCCAAGGTTCCTCGGAGATTAAAATGCACACACACAGATAGCAGTGACAAAGATGAAGCACTGGGCTGGGGATGTGGCTCAGCGATAGCGCGCTCGCCTGGCATGCGTGCGGCCCGGGTTCGATCCTCAGCACCACATACCAACAAAGATGTTGTGTCCGCCGAGAACTAAGAAGTAAAAATTAAAAATTCTCTAAAAAAAAAAAAAAAAAAAAGATGAAGCACTTTACTGCAAGCTGGTTCTAGCTTATATAGAAACTGAGAGTCAGTTATCTTAAACCAGGAAGCTCCCGGGGCCAACCATAGTAAAGGTCAGGTCATCACCTACTGTGCACGCACATCCTCCCTGCATAAGATTCATGGGGGGCACAAACTGTCCATGTGTACCGAAGGTTTTCAAAACAACTTGTTATCCACCCACTGGCAACTTGCCCGTCGCCATGTTGCGTTAGGTGCTGCTCCTTATTTGAAAGGCCCGGGGAGTTCTAGCTGCCCAATGGCAATTTGCCCACCGCCATGTTTGAAAGGCCTGGGGAGTTCTCAGGGAGACTCCCAACAAGAGGTAAGATCAAATTAATTAGCTATCACTTTATAATCAATCACCTCAAAAATTAAGTGGCTAAAAACAATAATAATTAATAATTAATTCATGGTTTTTCTTGGTCAGGAACTGAGAAGCAGCTTCCCTGGGCAGTTCTGACTGTTTTCCATGAGGCTTCCATCAGATATTATCTGGGGCTGCAGTAATTTGAAAGTCTGGCTGGAGCTTGATCACCTCTAAGGTGGCTTACTCATGGCAAGCAAATTGATGCTGGCTGTTGGTAGGAGACCTCAGTTCCTTTTCACATAGGCCTCTCCAAAGAACTGCCTGAATAAATTTAATGATGTGACTGCCCTTACCCAGAACAAATGAATTAAGTACCCAAGTGAGAAGCAGTAATGCCTTTTATGATCTCGTCTCAGAAATCATACCCCACATTCTACCATATTCAATTAGTCATTCAGAACAGCTTGTTTAAATGTGGGAGAAGTACATTAATGCCAGAAGGCAGGGTTGGGGCTATGGCTCAGAAGTAGAGTACTCGCCTACCATGCATGAGGCACTGGTTTCAATCCCCAGCACCACATACAAATACGTGTCCACCTATGTCTAAAAAATAAATATTAAAAACAAAATGCCAGAAGGCAAAGATCATTATGGCCTTGAAATCTGGCTAAATCACATGTGTAGAAGTACTTTTTAAAAATATTAATTAAAAAATATTTTTAGTTGTAGATGGGCACAATACCTTTATTTTTATATATTTTTTAAATTTTTATGTGGTGCGGAGGATCGAACCCAGCACCTCACACGGGCTAGGCAAGCACTGTATCATTAAGCCTCAATCTCAGCCTCTTATTGTTTTTATATGGTGCTGAGGATCTAACCCAGTGCCTCACAAATGATAGGCAAGTGCTCTACTACTGAGCTACAACCCCAGCCTATAGAAGTACTTTGTAAACTAAAATGCTATACAGATATTTAATGGTTTTATATACACAACCTTATTTCTGTAGAATATCATTTAACTGCTTTAGTTACCTTATTTGAAAATGTTCTAAGCTAGTCACTTAGTGTTTCAATGTGTGCTTAGCATGTGCGAGGCCCTTGGTTTATTTATTTTGATACCAGGGATTTAACCTAGGGGTACTTAAACACTGAGCCACAGCCACAGACCTTTTTTTTTTTTTTTTTTCAGACAGGGTCTTGCTAAGTTACAGAGACTGGCCTCAAACTTGCAATCCTTCTGCCTCAGCCTCCCAAGTCACTGGGATTATAGACATATTCCAGCATGCCCGTCAAAGCCTTGCATTTTATAAATAAATAAGTCTGAAGATACCAGCCAGTAAATGGATGGAACTGAATACTATCATGGTAATTGAAATAAGTCAATCTCAAAAAAAAAAAAACAAAGTCTGAATGTTTTCTCTGATATGGGGAAGCTAATCCAAAATAGGAAGAGGGATTAAAAAATAGAATAAAGATCAATGGAGTAGATGAAGGGGAATGAAAGGGAGGAGGACAAATGGGATAGGGAAAGAACAATGGAATGAATCTGACCTAACTTTCCTATGTACATTTTTGAATATACCATAGTGAATCTCACCATCATGTATATCCACAAGATACTAATTTTAAAAAAAGTCTACAAATAAGAAAGATCAGTGGTAAAAGGGAAAGGAACAGGGGGGTAAAGAGGGGAGGTTAAGGGGAAGTACTGGGGAATGAATTAGAACAAATTATATTTCATGCTTTTATAATTATGTCACAATGAACCCTAATGTTATGTATAAGTAAAAAACCAATAAAATAAAAATTAAAAAATAATAAAAGGGCTTAGTGATAATGTGCCCCTGGGTTTAATCTCTAGTACCTTTGCTGCCCCCTGCAAAAAAAAAAAAAAGTGGTAAAGATGGTGTGTTTTCTGCAATGTATGAGACCCAAGTAGAGAGTAGTGTCAAAGGGCTGAAAGATAATAATAGTAATGGTGAACATAAACCGGCTTTACAAATGTGAAGCCATTTAAGTCTTTTGGCGATTTTTTTTTAATATTTATTTTTTAGTTCTCGGCGGACACAACATCTTTGTTTGTATGTGGTGCTGAGGATCAAACCCTGGCCTCGAATGCCAGGCAAGCTCGATACCGCTTGAGCCACATCCCCAGCCCCTATTTAAGTCTTGCAGTAATCCTGTTACACAGGAGGAAACTAGCTTCAGATTAAGTTCAGATAATAATTTGATTAAGTCATTCATCTAGTGACTGAATACTGGTCGGTTAGTATTCAAAATCAGGCAGTCTGGTTCAAGAGCAAAAACTGAAATATGCTACACTAATTTTGTCTAGATTACTGGCCTTAGAATTCTGCCATCTTCAACATATCTTTGAAAATTAGGATTCTCAATTCTTAGAAACATCTAATGTAAAAAAAAGGAATAACATTTGAGCTGAGGACATAGCTCAGTTGGTAGAGTACTTGCCTCCAATGCACAAGGCTCTGGGTTCAAACCCCAGCACCATAAACTAAAAAGAGAGGAAAAGGGGTAACATTTCCATGTTGACAGCTGTTTCAGCTCAGACTATTGGAATCTGCCACCCCGCCTTCCTAACCATATCTAGCTTGTCAGCAAATCCCTATTGCCTGGAAGCTAAACTGGTACTCCCCTAGTAGAGCCCTCTGGATTACAGCAATAATTCACCAGCAGTCTTTCTGGCCCCTCTAAATCTAGAGGTGTAGTCTCCCGGAACAGCCAGAATCAAACTTTATTTTGTGGTACTGGGGATTGAACCCAGCCCTGCAAGATTATTTATTTATTTATTTAGTAACTATTTCTTTATGACAGAGTCTCGATAAATTGCAAGACGCTAGCCTCGAATTTGCGCCACCATTCCAAAACATAGATTACATCTCTTGGCTGCTCAATTCCTCCAGTGCCTTTTCAATAAGGTCCTTATACCACCCTATTTAAAACTGCAACGCCCCCATCACTCTCCCCATTATAACACTTTTTTTTAATCTCCTCCCTTTAGAAGATGGGGATTTTTGTTTTGTTACCTGCCGATTACAGCTAACTCTGGGGGGCGGGGTACTACGCCGCTCACATCTCCAGCCCTGTTTTGTATTTTATTTAGAGACAGGGTCTCACTGATTTGCGTCTCACTGATTTGCTTAGTGCCTTGCTTTTGCTGAGGCTGGCTTTGAATTTGGAATCCTCCTGCCTCAGCCTCTCAAACTGCTGGGATTACTGGTCTACGCCACAGCTAACTCTTACTTGCCTAGTTACTAAATACCTAAACTTTTTTTTTTTTGAGAGTGAGAGAGAGAGAGAGAGAGAGAATGAATTTTAACATACATTTATTTATTTATTTATTTATTTTAAATATTTATTTATTTTAGTTTTAGGTGGACACAGTATCTTCATTTTATTTATATGTGGTGCTGAGGATCGAACCCAGTGCCTCACACATGCTAGGCGAGCGCTCTACCCCTGAGCCACAACCACAGCCCCTATTTATTTTTTCTTAGTTCTCGGCGTACACAACAACTTCGTTTTGTGTGTGGTGCTGAGGATCGAACCCGGGCGCACGCACGCTAGGCAAGCGCGCTACCGCTAAACTTTCTCCTCCTATCATTTAACCCTCACAACCGCTCATGTTGTAGTCGATTTTCCATTTTAGAGTAGAGGACCAGAAGCTGTTTCAGTACCGTTGGATTTTGTTTCCCTGAGCCTGTTTCTTCATAACGGGACTGATTTAGTT